AAAAAAAAAACCCAAAAAAACAAAATGTGGCACTTCCTCTGTGGCCCTGAGTAGCTGTAATGAACCTTTCTCTAGGACCTGTGATTATAACAAACTGTTTTTTTTAAAGGTTTATTTTTATTTATTTGAAAGAGTTATAGAGAGAAGGAGAGGCATAGAGAGGGGGGGGGGGAGAAAGTCAGTCTTCCATCCACTGGTTCACTCCCCAATTGGCCACAACGGTTGGAGCTGCACTGATCTGAAGCCAGTAGCTTCCTTAGGGTCTCACACGTAGGTGCAAGAGCCCAAGGACTTGGGCCATCTTTCACTGCTTTCACAGGTCACGTCAGAGAGCTGGATTGGAAATGAGGCAGTTGGGTCTCGAACCGGCACCCATAAGGGATGCCGGCACTGCAGGCAGTGGCTTTACGTGCTTTTCCACAGCACTGGCCCCATGAACTGTTTTCTTGTGCCTTTTCTCTATGCCCTTTGTTTTCTGTTTATTTTAAAGGCAGAGACAGAGAGGTATATTTCATCTACTGATTTATTTTCCAAATGCTTATAATAGCTGGGACGAGGCCAGGGTGAAACCAGAAGCCTGGAGCTCCATCCAGGTCACCCAAATAGGTGGCAGGGACCCAAGTAGTTGAGCCATCCTCTGCTGCTTCCTAGTATATCCGTTAGCAGGAAGCTGGATTGGAAGTGGAATAGCCAGGACTCAGACCGTGGAGTCCAGTATGAGATTGGGTATCCCAGGTGGTGACCTAATCCACTGAGCCAGAAAGGCTGTTTCTGGGGCTGTAACTGATAAAAGAATGCAAAAAATATCCACCCCTAGATTAATCTCTGCTTTGAGGGATGGAGCCACCAAGACTGGCTTAGACAAAGTATAGTTTAACCGTGAGAATGGACATATTTACATCAAATAAAACCAGAATCTATCATTAACAAGTGAGAAGGAGGGTTTAATCGAATGAACAGTGAGCAGTGTTTATAGACACACATTTCTAAATGTACTGTATATCCTCAATTTTATTATATATACTCGTTTTACATTTTTGTCTCTAAAATTAATGTGTATCTTCCTTGATACACTGCTGACCATTTTTAAAAGCGTAATTAACATTTGACAGATCAAGTTGTCTTACAATTTGTTTCCTTAGACTCAATGAAATATACCAGTATATATCACTGTGCTGAACTCTCTGTTGCCCAGTCAGTGGAGTCTCCACCCCATTTGTTTCACGTTCACCTCTATATTTCAGGAGAGATGCCTAGGGGCTGCATTTCTAAAACCTGTCACATATGGAGCTCCATGTCAAATCCTGTAAATGAAATGCATTTTCTGATATTTTATAGGAAAAGATAATTCATTATTCTTAGATGTGTGGGTGTTAGCAAGAAAATCTTTATTTCAGCACCCTTTCAGTACAGATGGGCAGTGAGGTCATTGATAGTGGTGTCCTTGTTGTTTCTGTGCTTTTAATTTCTTGAAAGCCAGCAGTGGCCGACCTGATAGTGCTCCCTCCATCCCTTCAACGGTTTTGTAAGACTAGATTCTCTATATTACATCCTTGCCTACCATAGCTTCTGTTTGCAGAACTAAACTTACTGATAGGATTGTCATCTTTCATTTCTATTGTTTCAAATGCATTTTCCCTTTTTTGTGGGAAAGAACTTGAGATATCATCTCACCATGTGCTAAAATAGTTGGAGGTTCATCTCATCTATCAATGCAAGCTGGAATTGTCATTGTGTTGAGAAGCAGGCTTGGCCTGCAGTAGTGCTCCTTGTACCTATGAGTATGTGTGAAGAGGTGCCAACAATAGTCCCAGTTGATCTCAGCCTTTGAGTCATTCATACTGGATATGTAATGTAGGTGTATTAAAGAAAATCTCTAGATCATTCCATTCTCAGTAATGTAAGTCACATCT